TTTTTTTTTTAAGTAAGATTAAAAATGAAAAATATATAAAATTTATATAGAATAAATATTTCCATTCATTAGACTTGTTAAAAGGAGACTGAATTAATATTTTATATAAAGATTTTGTTACACTATGGGAGGTTCTATCATATTATTCTGAATTGGAGAGTATATATATATATTTTTAATAAACTTTATTAAGGTGAAATAATTTGAAGTTTACACATGAGTAATTGAAATATTTGAGTAAAAATGGCAAAAATTTAAATTTTGAATGCTGTATGTGTTAGAGAATATGGAGAATCACGGTGCGATGCAACTAGACGGGGAAGATTGATGTGAAGTTTTCTGGGGGGAAAAAGATACTCTAGGGGGTGAAAACAAATCTCTCCCATGGAGATTCTTCGCGTTACATGGTTTGACATAAGGGTTTATAAAATTGTTTGTCCAGCTAATGGAAATGTGCTTAATAAAAGATTCTGACCTTGGGTAAGAATTTGCTTTTTACCCTGTTGCTGGTTTCATGTACACACGAGTGAATGCACGCACCGATCCACATGTTCTCCCCGCGCTCATTGAATACGACATTGACTCGGTTTAACAACCTGATTTGGTGCCAGCTTCTCTTTTTCTTGAGGCCCCAAAGCTTCCAAGGTAAATATAAGACCAAAAGTCGCTCACTTCACACCGGATTTCTCCGAGAGCCGTAAATACCTCCCTCCTGTTGAGAACTAAGTAGTGAATCCTGAGGTTTCCTCAGTTGGATCTTTTTACTTTTGTGGGGATAAGACAAGTAGAAGGGAAACTCGTGCCGGTATCACTGTTGAAAATCAGTGTATAGTGAATTTTTGAAAAGTATTAATTTTTTAAAATGCTATCTAGAAGCAAGAATTTTTTAAAAATCTAAACGTTAAGGATGAGTATACCAATAAATCTAAAGTAACGGCTGACGTTTTTAAAAGTAACCTATGCTTGAGACGGGAGTCCGGCTCTGAGGGGCCCCTTGTATCAGTGTACCTAGCTCCTTCAGAACTGCTCGAGGTCGCCAAACCACGATTTAAGAAATAATGCTGCTATTGTTAATCTATTCTTATAAGGTTCTGGTGGTAAAAAGGAGAAACTTAGACACTATGTTACCTTGTCGAAACATGCTTTAAGAAACATGTTTTTAAAAATCCGCCGAGAGCAAGTCACTTCTGAGTTTTTCAGCCTATGTGGACACGGCTACTGACTCACCTCTCCTGCCCTAGCCTAAGGCTTCAGTTTCCCCATGTTGTGAAGACACCACAGTTGATTTGTAAAGCACTTTGAAGGTAAGCACTGTGTGACAGTGCTTATGCGTGGGACTCTCCTTGAGTCCCTTCTCCATAATGACGAGTTTTGTTCAGAATTGTAATAAGTTATGAACTGCATGGTTTAGATAATCATAAATATTTGATCAGCTGTCCCCTTTGAACAAAAATCGTATCCCCCTGATTTTTAAAAAATTTGTTGCATCTTTGTAGTAATGTAATTGTATTTTATGCCTGCTTTTTATATTAAAAAAATAAAAGAAATTGAGACATAAGCATTTTCATACTTTTCCTGTGAAATACTCTTGTAATGCTGCAACCTTCTAAAATTGACCCCCAAAATTTGCCTTCCCTAAGAGATGGGTATAAAAGATGAGTACAACAAACAAGTCACAAGTAAGGTTACACACAGACTTGTGACGACTCGGTCCTGTCACTTAGTGCACAGAGAAATACGAAATACAGAATTTCAACCAGGAGTCTGTCCCTGATTCGATTCCGGTTTTTTTAAGGGGCATGCAAACCTACAACATGAAGTGTCAAGGATAAGGAAGAGAGGCAGGGTGCCTCTTGTCAGGAATAGTGTGCTGACAGTTTTCTAGAAAGCATTTCTTGGGTAGTCAGTGGATTCTTTTCTAGGATACTTACTGGCTCTCTGGTCTGGGACAGGTTATTCACTCCGAGCCTCAGTGTTTTTATCTGTAAAATGGAGATTGTTTACTTACAGGATTGCTGTGGAATTAAATGATTGTGTAGAATATCTGGAATAGCTCATGTTTGTTCCCTCCCCTCCTCAAGGGCAAAAACGAAGAATTCTTCATCTAAGTATATTCTTAAAGGAGTTGCTTTAAACAATGATAAAGTACTAATAAAGTATTTGAATAAAAGATTTATTGGACTAAAAATCACATAATGTGTATTATACTAATGGTCAGATTGTTAACTGCATATGAGAAAAGATTTACTGGGATTTTTTTTAAATGACAACTATAATTTTAAAAACTACACAGTATTTTCAGATACCATGTTTCTCTTCCTGCTGGTCCCAAGCAGAAATTCTAAAAGGATTAATCAGTTTATATTTTTTAAATTGCACTTTACGTAACTTAAAACTAATCACATTAAAACAGTTTTAAGACAGCAGAATTCAAAATATGAAAGTTTATTTTACATAAATATTTTCTAATAAACATTGCTTACTGCATATACCAGGATAATGCCATTCAACTGTAAGAGGAAAGAGAGTTTTTAAGTGTTAGGGTTTATAAACATGAAAATACAGTGTAGAATCATACCATGTTTAGAATGTGATAATGAGAACAAAAGCCATAAGAACTTGGCAGAACTCAGCAATACCCTTTACTGCATATATTTTCAATACACAAAACCTGGTTGAGGTCAGGCTGTATTTCGTACTAAATTCTAGTAACAGTAATTGCATAGATGTGGCCTTTTAAAAATGGTTGAATCAGAACGTTCACTGGGATTGCCTCATCGTAAACAGAGATTGCATCCAATACTGCCGTTTCTTAGGAATTACTTAAAGGCACAGTATGAAGCTAAAGGACCACTTTGGTGTATGAACACAAGTTAGTTACATTTTTTGCATGCCCTGATGTGCTTCCAATAACATAGGGAGGATTGCACTGTTACGATACAATAAGGATATCCTGCTTTGTCTGTTACAATTAAACAGTCCCAGAAAGTGAACCCTAGGAATTTGTTACAAATCCACTTCTGACTTTGAGCAAAATCCCACTCCATTCATGTTCATTTGTGCTCTGCACAGCATTTGTTTAAAAGATTCTGAAAGCTGTAAAACAGATGCAGTTAGCTCTAGGCAGCTCAGCTCGTTGGAGAGAACTTAATCATGACTAAGGGTCAAAGCGAGAATCTCCAAATGGGATTCTTGGACAACTTCCATCAATCAACCTCAAAGATGCAGATGTCTGAACCCTAACAACCTAATGGAGGTGGGGGGTCATTTTTAAGTAAGCAGTTAAGTGGCCCTTGCAAATCTAAAATACCTTTGGCTTCAAAGTTTCTGAAATGATTGACTAAATTTATAAAAGACCTTGACCCAGCAATGAGCTTTTCTTTTTCTTTGGTTCAGTTATTCGAAATCCACTTTGTAAGAACAGTGTCCATCATTTAGCCTTTAAAACGGTCTTCCGATAGCGAAGTACTGTAGCAGTGACCCATAAATTTAAAGCCAGCATGGTCGCAAAACGTGTAAGAACTGAAATCAGTCAAAAGGAAAGAAAGAAGTGTATATTAATACTTTTCACATTATAAAACAAAATCACCTGCTCTAAATAGAAACCTAAATAAAGTTTTACCCTGCTCCCACTGCCCCCCCAAAAAACCTGAAACTTAGAACTATGGATCATGAGAACTTCTGAACAATTTTGGTTCCAAATATTTCGGGAAAAAATGCTCTTCCTATCATTGGCCACTTGGCCTGACTTCATGAGTAATAATTTATCAAATGTTTAATTTGGAGAAATCTGGCTCTGGCTGATAAAGGAGTATTATATAACCTTTTAAAACCCCTTTACTCATTTTTAAGTCTGGAGGGTAGTGAATGGTGTCTCAGAACCTCCCGTGTAAAGGAAAGGTGGTATAGTGTGTTCCGTCCAGATAATTCTGAAAAACTGGCCAAACGTCAAGATTTTTTATATGCTCGATTTGGGAGTTGAACATGCCTAAGAAATTACTAAATTATTTTTAGGCTACCCCAAGTATTTTCTCCATCACCGTTCCCCTTTTTAAAAATTGACAAGGACATGGAGTCAAATGGTCATGTCACTCCTGCTTTAAAAAGCCTTCCACAGCTTGTGGGAAATTCTCGGAGATTCCAGACCTTTTGGCCACTGCACCCTCTCCCCTCCTGCCGGTCACCGTACTCACTCCCACGACGCACTCACTGCAGGCCGCCTCTCTCTGAGGCCAAGCCTTACATCCTCGTTGCTCATGACTTTCACACCTGCTGCTCCTTGTAACAGTTTCTTCCCCACCTTCTCCGGGTCTCACGCTTATTCAAATCCATTTTCCCAGCTCCCTCCAACTAGGTCAGGTCCCCATTAGGTGCTCATCCTGTCCTACTCTTCCAAAACACATTTTATAAAGTTTTTCAATAGTTAATTGCGTGATTACTTCACCATCTTTTTCCACTGCTGGAGTGGAAGACAGGCATCGACTCTCATGCGTACTCTGCGAGGGGCTACGAAAGTAGATGCTTAATGCTATAGATGGTGACTGGTTGTTGCTGGCCTCTAAGTTTACAGTCCAATGGAGCCAAGTCACAATCTGTTAAACCCTAACACGATTTACAAATGAAGGAGGCATAGGTGGCACAACATTGTTAAAGGAAGCGGGCAGAAACATTTTTTGCTTACGTGTGAGATCATTGGTGGTCATTAAAGTTGTTATTATTCTTGCTGTAAAAAAAAAAAAAATTGGCAATAAATATCAACTCAGACAGTTTGGTAGTTAGCTAAATAATGTCTTTCAGTTTTCAGTACAGGAATAAATGCTAACTATTCTTGAAGGATTTTGGTAGTACAGAATACTAAGTAGTACTATGTTTCATAAGACTTCTCAAAGCCAGCCATGTTTCCTAGCCCAGTGATTTTGAAGCTGCTCATAAGAGCAGAAGCTGTTCCTGGGAGGTAATTCAGAGCTGCCCAGGGAAGCCCGGGGTGGGAGGGTATGGAAAGCCAGGGAGGAAAGCAGAGCTCACCCCAAAAAGCAACTTTTGAAAAACTCATTTACATATAGAGCTTCTAGTTAGGTTTCATTTAAAGAGAGACTCCCACTAAAAACAATGTTTTTAAATCGCTGAACTCTGACCCCCTTATTTTCTAGGTAAACGAAAGCGAGGCCCGGAAGAAGGCATGGTTTTCCAAAGGGTCTAACGAGAACTGTTTAATTACTTTTTGTGGCGTAGCATTTCGCTTAGTAAGCACTTAGGAAATGGGGGTGACAGTTTAAACCGACACATGTGAACTGGCAGGGAACGCCACTACCTACAACTCAAGGCACGCCTTTCCCAACCCAAAACCAACCCATACGAAGCTCTCCCTCTGCCTAACACGTTTTGCATTTAGCATAGACTGACATAGTAGCTTTTCGGCCTGATCGTCCAACTAAACTAAGCCCCTGAAAGGCAGAGACCAAATCTTATCAAATGTTTTGTTGCCAATTTTGATAACCCAAGGATTTACAGGAGCTTTGTGAATGGTTGTTGATTAAGTCAGCAATGTATATAGGAGGGGTGGGTCTTACACAGATGGAGAGAAGATTCTATCCCCTTAGGGAGGTGGCCAACTAAGGATCCTTAAGCAAACTCTTAAAAAGACTTTTAATAATTGGTAAATGGACAATAGTAACAGTGACTGAAGGAAGTCGGGTGAGGGCTAAAACGCACATTTCATTCACTTCTAAGTCAGCACTGCTGAAGTTGTTAGTCTCATCCACCAAAAAGGGAAGCTGGGCTTAAAACTAGTTCATTTTTTTCCCCATAAAATTACGGTTCTTCTTTTTATCAACTATTCAAATATTTAAGTACTTATTAAGCAGAGTGCCATGCAAAATAGATTGAAATGTAATATATGATCTCTATAGGTACAAGTTCCCAAGATTTCCTTTAAAAAGTTTAATAAGCAACATTTAAAGATTAAAATACCTGAAAATAAAATTAGGGAGCTAAGAAGTAACATATCCAATTAGCAATCCCAGAAGTTATATATATCCCTACCAGCAACCTGGATGCAAAAATTGGTCCCTTAAGATAAAGAAACATGAAGGAGTATAATTCAAATATCTAAAACTAGTAAATCTAATTAATGTGATAGCTCTGAAATTTTAAAATATCTACCTAAATATAGCATATATGTATTTTAGGTAGTTCCTGCAGGAATCCAAATGAATAGTGGAAATTCTAAATTTGGAACCAAATTATGGCTCCAGAAAAACCCCATTGTTGCAAATTTATATTCATTCTGAAAAGTCAGTGTTCGATTTTCATCTCTTTAATCTGTTCCATCATAAAGATTCAGATTTTTAAAACAATAAGTGGATTCAAGATAATCATCCTCTTAATGCTTTTCAAAGAAGGAGAGAGGACTTAATACTAGCCCAGGTTTTAGGTAAAAGCTGCTTTCACTTTATTTTAGCAGCTGGATGGAGAGTCATCCGCGTTCAGTCAGCCTTGTAAATATGGACACACTAGGCAGTTCCATCTGAATAGCTATTTGCGAAAGATTAAAGCTCAAGAGACTATGGATGGCATTTGGACACCAAGTTAACGCAGTCTTCTGGGTAGACACCCCCTCACCGCCCTCACCCGGGATAGAGTCTTGTTCTTACCCACACAGGTGTAGGAAGCGAGGCTCCAAGTCAGAGCGCTCACAGCTCCGGAGTCCCCAGTCTTCCACAGGTACTGGAGCTGAGCAAACTTACTGGCCACACTGATGAAAAGACATAAACTCTGTGTGCAGATAAAACACAAGGAGGTCAAGAGTCCCTTAGTTGCCAAGGCTGAAGAGCACCAGATACTGAAACCGCTTTGAAAGCCAAATTTTCAGGTCAAGTGATAACCAATTTGCACAAGGGCAAAACCCAAGTTTAGTGGAAAAGAACAACCACAAGACATTTATTTATAATGCACCGATTCCGCGGTTGGGTGAGTAACTGCAGGGGGCGAGGGGTCCTGGGAGCCCAGGGAACAGCGTGATAAACAAGGGGCTCTTGCTCTGCAGCGTCCAACGCGTCCAACGCCACAGATGCTTAGAGGAGAAGCCAGGACAGCCGCTGGGGATGAAAGTGGCTGGTGTCCTTGACTAGCTCATTTATCTTCCGTCCCCGCAGAAAGAAAGCTCCACGAGGAGAGAACTTATTCTGTTTGCTGCGAGGTCCCCAGCACCTGGAACGGCGCTGGCACGCGGCCGTCACTCAGCGAGTCCCGTTGAATGTGACTAAATCCTTAACGACGAAGCCATTTGGCAAATGCGATGACGGAGGCGATCGCAGGGTATCATGGGAGGAGAGAAGGGGTGACTTGGACAACGAAGAGTTGTAGGGAAGGTAGACGAGCAAGGGCCCGTGGTCAGGCCTGTGGTCAGCTCCAAAGGCAGGTCTCACTAGGAGCTGGGCGCAGGTGGCCCGGATGACTGACCCCAAGCGGGCGGTGGGGTGGGGGACGTGAGGAAGGAGGCCCTGTGCAGTCTGGGTGACAGGAGCTGGCCGGGGAGGGAGGAATGGAGGGACAACTGGCCAGGACACAGACCTGGCACCTGCAGGCGGAGGAGTCGGGGAGGGTGGCAGGAGGGCCAGGAGGCGCGCACGCGCTCCATCCACGCGAGCAGGGGACAGGGCCGCGCCCGGCAGACGAGTGCTGGCCAGTCCTTCCAACGGCACCCGCTGCTGACCCCAGCAGACGGCGTTCCCGGGGAAGAGCCGGCGTCGCGATCACGAAGGCGTTGCCTCGGGGGCACGAGCAAGGCCCGGACGATCTCAGCGCACGTGCTCAAGGGCAGGTGACTCGGCTGTCACCCAACGCAGAGCCTAACGCGAGCAGGACCTGGCAGGACGAGCGAGCTCGGACCATGGGGAGATGACTTCGGAGGGCTTCGATCACATCTTTTTGTGAATAAACTACGAGTATGTGAATTATCTAAACCACGAAAGCACAGTTTAGAGTTTCTGCGGACGGGATTTCTCGGTCCGAACTGGTACTTTTGAAACCAGTAGGGCTGTAAACCTTCCAGAACTTGGCTTTTTCACGAATTCGCACAGCACCCTCCCCCGCGGGGGCCCAGCGGCTTCTACCCTGGGGGAGCCCTGAAGCCTCAGCTCTTTCTTCACCGCAGCTCCACGACCCTCGAGCCAGACCTTGTCCCCGAGGCCCCCGGGCCCACCCCGGAATAGGCACCGGGAAGGACTTGGGGACAGTGACAGCACAGTGCCTGCATGCAGTCCGTGCTCGACGAGGGAAAAGGAAGCCTCTATGAACTACCGGAGCCCCGGGGGGTGGTTAGAACAGAGCATTCACTGGGAAGGCACAGAAAAATCAAAAAACGCTGCAGCCCTCGGCCTCCATCCAGACCGGGTCCCCGGAGCCCGCTCCGCCCCGCGCCCGGAGCGAGGCTGCGGGAGCTGGAGGCTCCTACGGCTGGCAGCCTGATCTCCCCAGACAGCCGGACCGGCACCGCGGTCCTGGAGAGGACTTTTGGTAGGGTGGCCAGATTTAGCAAATAAAAATACAGGGCACCTGGTTAAACTGGAATTTCAGATCAACGACAAATCATTTTTTAGCATAAGTATGTCCCATACAATATTTGGGACTTAAACTGAATACGGACACTAAATATTTAGAATAATATTTATCCTAAAAAATGATTCGTCGTTGGTCCGGCAACCCTACTCGTTTGCTCTCCCAACGTCGGTAGGTTGGAACCTAACTTGGGGAGTCAAGTCAGCTTTCCAAGAAAGTGTCACAGCCAAGATGCTGGGGGAGGAGGGGGCGAAACTCGTGAGTTGGGTGTGGAAGGCAGTGACTTGTGACCACCAATTAGTTGTCCTCCTTTTCCCGTATGCTGGAAACATTCGCTGGGTCGCCTTGCAGAGATCTGCGGTTAGAGGCTCCATGACCGCCAGCGGAATCCTCTTCCCACAGCATGGGTTCGGCTCCCCCCCAAGGAAGGGAGAAAGTACAGGGCTGACCCTTTTCCAAGGAGGACAAAAATGTCTGGGGGCAGCAAACTCAGAAAAGCGAGTAGGTGGCCAACATGTAATTATGAACAGGACAGGAAGCTCTTTAACTTACGCTCGGTTCTTCATTCCAGTACCGTTACCTACTGTCCCAATCTGGTTCTTTATGCCCCCCCTCAAAATGTATAAAAACTTCTGCCTTCCATTTAAGTGAGAATAATGTCTTTTAATATTTGGAGACCGCTGCGCTTGCTTACAACTGAAAACTTAGCAGCTTAAACATTTGATCTAGCAAGTTCTTTGAAGGGCAGTGGAACGGAGAAGAGAGAGACAGACCATTTCACACTCTTTTCAAGGCCAGCGCTTACCATGGAAAGATCAATGATCCACTTCCGCAGGGTGAGGACGAACCAAGACGCCACGAATCTTACCGAGTGCTAAGGAAGTGGCTCAGCGGGCAGCAACCCCAACCCCCACCCCCGCCCCCCTCTCCCGCCCACAGAAACAAACCCGGACCGCAGAGGTTACACGGAAGCCAAGGGGGGAATTGGGAGCAGCTCTGCTAGGACTTGTCAGATTTGGAAAAGACAAAAACAGTTTCAAGTGAACACCTGCCAGGAGTCTAAAAGAATAGAATAGAAGCAGATTAGAGAAGAAAATGACAAAAACAAAACAAAAAAATACCCTGTATTCATGGACTGTTCCAAATGGTTTTAACTTCTGGCTTAATTCCACACCACGTAAGCATCGCTGAAGAAATGTCAAAAGTTAAGCTCTGACAAGAGGGGTCCGACGTTACGAAGTCGGCATATCCTGCAAGGTTGATGTCACGTGAAACTCTATTGATTTTCCCCTTTCCCACTAACCCCTGTGTAAAAATGACACAGTGGGGAGAGAGATGCTGGGAGACAGGACGGATGACATCTGATCTTCACCAAGCGGAGGGATGCTGCAGGAAGAGACAGCCCGGCTAGGGAAGCTGAAGCAAACACAGGAAAGCAGGGGACAGGCAGTGAGGGGACAGGCAGTGAGGGGACAGGCAGTGAGGGGACAGGCAGTGAGGGGACAGGCAGTGAGGGGACAGCCAGGAGCCTCTGCTGTGACCCTGGGCAAGTCCCTTTCCATCTTTCGACCTTGGTTTGCTTATCTGCAAAATGCACCTAACATTCGTTGCCCTATCTACCTCCTCGATGCGATGTTGCTCATCGTAAGGACCCGACAGATTGCTGTGATTATCATTCATCTTTTAAATGAAGGGGCTGAAATGGACGATGCCCTGTGCTGAAAGTCAGCAGACTAACTACTAGCAACCTGGTCAGCACCGGAAAGGCAATGAATTTGGATGAAATCCGGTTTTAAAAACATTCTCTAATTAAATTTCTTAAACTAATTTTTGTGGTATATTTTTGCCCCATTTTGTGCCATCTCACCTCATTCTATTCATTGCCGATATACATTTTATTTAAATAGTAAGCCACACAATGCTTTTCATCTACAAAGTACTCTGTTTCCAGGAGCCTTCAACCCGCTGGGGCTAACCCCAGCTGAGGGGCTGGGGAACGGTACAGACACACGCTCTTGCAGAGGGACGCTGAGTCACGGCCTTACAACTCCACGGAACAGCAGAGGGTCGGGACTCAGTGTGCACCCAGCTCCCCTTTGCAAAACGCTTCTAGTAAAACAGCCACGATGACTGTGCCATGCCCTCAGCTTGTAATTTGGTTCTCTCGATAACCCTAAAGAGGCAATAATATCCCATTTCGCAGATGGGGTATCTGCGGGCTTAGAGAGCTTTTGGCACGTGGCCAAGGACACCAGGTGCTTCCCACCTCCCTGCACCCATGCCCTCAAGGCGCTCAGGGCAGACAGGGCCCGGCAGCCCCCTCCCCCTTTCTTCCACCCAGAAGACCATGTCACTGCCAGTCAAGGCTTTCCCAGCCTTCTAAGGAATGTGACTGTGACAGTCAACTCGGTCAACCCGAGACAAAGAGTCGAAGTGAAAGTCAGGCACTGGGGAAGACCATGTCACTGCCAGTCAAGGCTTTCCCAGCCTCCTAAGGAATGTGACTGTGACGGTCAACCAGAGACAAAGAGTGGAAGTGAAAGTCAGGCCCCGGGGACATGTCTGTGTAATGACCAGGTCCCCACAGGGGTCCTGCTAAGGTCTTGACTTCCAGGAGCCCTCCCGAGCCTGCCCCCGCACCCACACAGGCTGACCGCATGGTGTTATGCCAGACACGATCATGACTAGGACTTCACTCATTGGGGACATTTTCATGTCTCCTTTCCCCTAAAGAACGAGGTTGGAAGAAGTCGCTCAGCAGGTGTGCTCTGCCGCTGGGAATGTTCACCAGCAAGGTCCTAATCTACATCCCAGGTGGCGCCCTGGACAGCACGAGGGCAACTCTGGGCTGCGGAGATGCATTTGCTCACACTGAGTCTTGCATTTGGGATTCTTTTCAGTTTAACTGAAAAGATCAGTATGTGGTAAATGGCCCTGATGAACAGGGGGTACTATTAGGAAACGCGGCACGCCCAGGCCCATTTCCGATTCTGCGGCGTGGAAGGATACAGGGCGACGTATGGCGCTGACGCGAACACGTTCCCATTGAAGTGGAAGATACCGAGCAGGAGGATGATATCTGGCGGGAAAGGCTCAGCGTGAGAGGGGGGAGGGGCCCAGGGCCGCGCTGGGCAGGGAGGGCTCGGTTACCTTGTGCGATGAGAATGGGGTACTCCAGGTAGGTCAGCAGCGGGTACTCGTAGTAACATTGGTACCGGAGAAACACCAGGTATCTGGGGAGAGAGAGGGCACACCTGAGCTCGGACCGACCTGACACCCATCTGGGGAGGCCGGCAACACCAAGAGCACAGCCTTGTTTGCAAAACCTTGGAACTAACTAGTGTTTGGAGCCTGCAAAAGTCAAGGAGAGAGTTTGACAGCAAAAAGGGTGGAATGTTAATTTCATAACACGACTTTGGAAGCACACGGCCCTGGCTCGGCTCTGGACAGCTCTGGACATAACATGCGCGGTCTGTCACGTCCCTTAGGATGGTCATTTACAAACGATTTTTGCAGAAGGCAATCCACTGACCAGGATTAGGAAAGACAGGGGCTTCTGGGACCAGGTCTGCTGTCCCCAAAGCTGGAAGCAAACCCCAGACACCTGCTCTAATAGGAGCAGCCTCCTGGCAGGGAGCCCTCCCCCCGCCCCCCACTCCTGAGGCACCCTCTGTGTCTAGTCCTGCGCCTATGTCACTCTGTGTGACCCCGGCCTGCACGTGCTCTGCTCCCTGCGGCACCTTAGGCAGGCTGCCTCCCCACCCACCGCCAGGTTCTTGGGTCATTCCACTACCAGAGGGCTGGTTTTTGATAAGATAAACTGTATAGAAAGTGATAGGTGACACCCCAGTGAAGGTCAAGCCCTCACTTCTTTTATGGGGGGCGGGGAGGGAGAGCAGAGCTGTGTGCAGGCTCCCGACTCTACAGGCAAATGTCGTCCGGTCACCCAGAGCGGGCTCCTCTCTCCCAGCTCAAGGCTCTACCTGGGGACTCGGGTCCCTCTCCCTGGCCTTCCTTGCTTCCCGCACCTTCCCTCTGCCCCTTCTCCCCTCCCCCACCTGCATAGACACTGCAGCCGCTTCCAGCCAGTGTCCTTCATCCTCCAGGGCCCCTCTCTACTCTCCAATGCCCGCCATCCAGCCTGGGGGCCCCAGTGCTGTACGGTCATTCACAAACTCCTGAGGGGTCACACACCCTCGCGTTGGCCGAGCCTATTCAGAGGAAGCGTCTCGTTGAGTGGGCTGTTGGGTGGGCGCCCAGGGCAGGTCTCCCGCAGGGCGGGGCCCCTCATCCCTCCCACCCCTAGCTCTCCTCGGCCTTCCTCCCTTTCCCGTGGCTTCTTCAAACAGGGCTGTCCCTCAAAGGAATGCTTCTGCCGAGAACCGGCCATCAGAGCCGCCGGGGGGGCGGGGCCTGGGCTGGCGAAGAGCGAAGCAGGGAGGGCCCTGCCCAGCCGGGAGCCAGCGGCTGGAGCCGCTGGTCCGTTGGGTTTCCTGTCCGCGGTTTTCCCACTAATTAGAGTTTTCCCACCAACTCCACCACGGCGACTGCGTTTAGGAGCGGCCTTGGCTAATCTAAGTCCCCCTGCACCGCAGCCTCCAAAAAGCTCTGTGTTCTGCATCTGCCCACCCCACTCCAAAACAGGGAGCTTTTAGAAGCCACAGGGTCCTTAGAAAAGTTCGACCCCTCAATTTACAGGCGGGGAAGCGGAGGTCTGAGACAGGGAGAGATGGTGGGGGTGGGGGTGGTTCAGGGATGATGGACAGTCACGTGCCCCTTCAGGAGGGGATCACTCCGAGGAATGCACCCTTAGGCAGTTCCGGCCATCTCCGCAAAGCGCGCTATGCAAACCTAGCTGGTACAGCCCAAGCCTGTCATCATATTCGCTGGGCTTTTACGCGACTGGCAGTGCAGGTTTGTCCACACCAGCATCACGGTTAACCCGCAATGTGTGGTGTGCCACATTACCTGGCTAAGAGCACACTAGGCGACAGAAGGTCTTCGGGTCCATTTTAATCTTACCGGACCACCCTGGTATCTGCGGTCCATTGCTGACCTAAAAGTCTTTATGCGCAGGTGGCTGTACATGAGAGCCTCCGGGTGCAAACGGCCCTGCTCAAAGCCAGGCGGATGGTTTTGGCACTAACCGGGGAGTGATGATCTCGCTGGGTGTCGTCGGTTTCCCCATCTGTAAAATGGGCCTGCGCCGTCATTTCCCTACCACGCAAGTTGAAGGGCAGCAAATAACGAGAGGAAGTGAGCGGCCCCGGGAAGAGCCGGTCCCCGTCGCCAGGGGCTTTCGGCCCGGCTTCCCAGCCCCTACTTAATTATGCCTGCGGCTCTCTCGGCTCCCGCAGGCCAAGGTGTGTGGGGAAGGGCAGCCCCGGGCGCCGGGGTCCTTACCCCCAGCTCCAGA